GTCAGGGTGACGTCCACCATTTCAGAACCGATTAACGAACGAATTACCCATCCAATAACATTTAATCGTCTTCAGCAAAGTAATAACGGCGGGAGACAACGATAATCCGAGGAATTATTTCCATTTAAATACGAGTTTACCCCAAGCAATTAATTCATCAAAAGTGTCCCGCCGCCGGAAGGGGAGCGCACAAGAACTTGCAGCTATCTCTCTCTTGCTTGCTCACTCACTCACACTCGCTTATTCATTACTCACCTACACACTCGTTCACTCATTACTCACTCACTCATTTACACACACTCGCGCGCTCTCTCTCTCTCTCTCATTTACTTACTCACTTAGTCACCATTCATACACCCATTCTCTCACTCACTGACTTACACACTTGCACTCTCACTTACGCACACATACTCTCTCTTTTACCCATGCAATCGCTCTCTCATTCATTTACTCACTCACATTCTCTCTCTTATTTACTCACTCACTGACTTAAACACTGGCTCTCTCACTCGCTCACTCACTCACTCACTTGCTCTCTCACTCACTCACTCACTTGCTTTCTCACTTATTCACACACTTGCTCTCGTACTCGCTCACATTCTCTCTCTCTCTCTCTCTCTCTCTTTCTCTTACTCACTCACTGACTTAAACACTGGCTCTCTGACTCACTCACTCACTCACTTGCTCTCTCCCTACTCACATTCTCTCTCTCTCTCTCTTATTTACTCACCCACCGACTCACACACTTGCTCTGTCAATCACTCACTCCCTCACACTCGCTCTCCCACTCACTCATTCACTTTGCTCTCGACTCGCTCACATTCTCTCTCTCTCTCTCTCTCTCTCTCTCTCTTTCTCTTACTCACTCACTGACTTAAACGCTGGCTCTCTGACTCACTCACTCACTCACTTGCTCTCTCACTACTCACATTCTCTCTCTCTCTCTCTCTCTCTCTTATTTACTCACCCACCAACTCACACACTTGCTCTGTCAATCACTCACTCCCTCACACTCGCTCTCCCACTCACTCATTCACTCTCTCTCTCTCTCTCTCTGTTATGAGATCGCAACTGACCGTGTTCAGGATAAAGAGGCCCACCCATCTGGGAAAGGACGAATCACGGGCGGTAAAAGATTATAAGCTTTACAACTCCGTGGCACGGTGACTGCATTTTCGGCGGGTATTGTTGCGAGCCCCGGCGTCGTTGATAATGCTGATAACGCGGCAAGTTCGTTTATTACCGAAAGTTTCCAGCATCGGCGCTGATAATATTACCGGCATCGAGTTTAAACTGTTAACACATCGGCCAGAGCCAGGCGGTATCGTGCATTCGAAATATATTATTCGTGATAAGAACAGGGTCGAACTATCGTGTTTTATACAACGGTTAGACAAGTCGTGTGTGTTATCTGTTTGCGCTCTTTATTATACGTTTTTACCGGCGTAGGATTAATTGGAAAAGTTGCTATCTGAAGGATAGATCCTTTTTCTTTCCCCCGGCGAACGTTCGCCGTAAATGAACAGGGGAATACTGTTCGTACCTGTATGTACATACACTCGTTGCTGTACGAGCGTGTAAATGTGCGAGTTACGGGAAAAGGAAAGCAAGCAAGATTTAATAAAAAATGCCGCTTCGATGAGGAGTGCTAAACTTCCCATTATCGTAAATCTTTGTTAAGGGAGAAATAATTTTCTACCGATACAGAACAACTTTTATAGGGTTGAAAAATGCAAATGAAATGAAATATCACACGAAGGTGTCCAAGTGCGAGTGTATACAACGATCAGATGAGGTATAAAAAAAAAGATATTCTCTGTATATGTATTTCGATAGATTGACCAAAATGATCAAATCTTTTGTACGTGACAATTGTTTCTATCGCTTACCGTTAAATATTTATACGCCAAATTACGAAGAAACATTATGAACAAATTGTTTCCTTTTCTTTTGCCATAGAACGATAAACCACGAAAAACTGAATAATTCGTTTATACAAAGTTTTGCTCTATCTCGCAACGGTTACAAAGTAACACATTGGAGAAACGCGAAAAATTTGTAAGATTAATTTCACCTTCTCGAAGTGATTTTCGGGGCGAAAAAAGAGATCGTTCCTCAAATACTTCCTTGTACTCGAGATACACACTTGAATTATTTCCGGACTCAGATCGTCCGTGACACCCATTCTCATCTGTCCAACAGCGAAAGGATCTAATTGATCGTTCTATTTCCATCGGTGCACCCCGTAGAGAATCAATTACAAACGCGTTATAATCTTCTCTTCTCCCCTTCTATCGAAAATAACCCTCCCAATAGTGTAATATTCCGTCCGTAATAGATATTTATTTGCCCGCAATTGTACGTTTTCTATTCTCTACGCTCCTGCGAGACCGGACCGTTTCCACAATTGCTGATTTAAGCGCGTGGCGAGCGTTCCGGGGTTGGCAAATAATGTTCGAAACAAACGGATCCCGATACGCGGACTCCCGCAACTATATACAGGGTGTCGAAATTGTTTCCGACCAAACTTACGCAGTATCTTCTACGGGCACGAATAAGTGAAAAATGTTATACGAACATAGGTCGTTCGAAGCTTCGTTAAAAAGTTACAACGAAAATACGAAATACGAAGCAATTGCCATGGATACAAGACCAGAATGACAAAAGTTACATCCAACACCTTCAACATACACGTACACATCGCTCGTCTAATCCTATTTTCTATCGTAATAATCCACACACCCGTTACTCTTCGCTTCTCCTATTATCGCTGTAACTTTTCAACGAAGCTCCAAACCACCCATGTTTACATAACATTTTCTCCTCACTGAAGCCCATAGAACACGCTGACAAAGTTTGGTCGAAAACAATTTCGACACCCGGTATATACCATTTTTATTACTTCGCGAAAAATCTCGCCGATCCGATAAAACGACGCGGCGGCGAAAGGGTGTACACACGGGATAGATCGTCGTGGACGGGAGGATCACAGATATTCGACGAGTAGGACAGGGAAGATCATAATCGACAATCGGAGAAATAACGCCGCAGATCGACCTTCGTAACAGGAGTTGGCCTAACTCCTGTTTACAACGAGGAGATTGGGAGAAACAACTGGCCGGCCGCTGGTTGCATAGGTGATCACTGAAACGATAAACCTGAAGCTCATATAAGTGTATACATATGTATATATATATATAGTACACGGTAAGCTTTACGCAATACCTTGTTACGACAGAATGGATATCCTTTGCGTAATATCTATAAATAAACTAGCCCATAGACAGACCATAATAACGAGCCTCTGTATTGCACGGGACAGGAATAATAAATCCTGCTTTGGATTGGCAAATTTGCAACAATATGCACCACTGGCAAAACCGTAGCCCGTTCCTTCCGCGCGTTTCACGGTTTATCGTGGACAATTTGTCAACCGGATTCTCGCGACACAGAATGCATAAATCTC